AAATAAACATGCAAAAAAGTGAACTTATGCCGATTAACACTGCAGCCAGACTAATCACATTTAACTCCTTACCGTTTAAATTGAGTAAAGATAAATTTAAGTATCTAGGTATATGGGTTACTAATAATTACAAGAACCTCTATAAAACTAATTTTATTCCATTGATAGATTCTATAAAACAAGATTTTGAGCGTTGGGGTACATTACCGCTATCACTAGGAGGCAGAATAAACACCGTCAAGATGAACATCCTACCTAGATTTCTATATCTGTTCCAGTGTATCCCGATATTTTTAACTAAATCGTTTTTCCTACTGATAGACAGGCTGATATCAACTTTTATATGGAATGGGAAAAATGCACGCATCCGTAAAAGTGTTCTGCAGCGACACCGAGAGCATGGAGGACTATCGTTACCCAATTTTCAGTACTATTATTGGGCAGCCAATGCTCGTTCTATGTTATATTGGTTTAACTCGCATGCTAGTGTTCCTAAATGGCTGTCCCTTGAGAATTTGTCATGCCATCCCGCTTCTTTACATGCATTGCTCTGCTCAACATTGCCATCACCTCATCCAATATATAAATACTCTCTGAATCCAGTGGTTAAGCACTCCTTCAAAATATGGGGACAGTTTAGAAGACATTTTTCACTTAATGACGTGTCAGTCTTCACTCCCATAGTAAGAAATCACATGTTTACTCCTTCTATTATAGATGATTCTTTTGGCGACTGGTCTGTAAATGGCATTAGGGTACTAAAGGATATGTATATTGATGGCACTTTTGCAACCTTTCAGCAAATGAAAACTAAATTCCAAATTCCCAACACTCACTTTTTCAAATATCTTCAACTTCGTAGTTTTGCTGCATCATCTGTTAGTCACTTCCCCTCATTACCACCTGAGTCACTTCTTGACACTGTTCTAAAAGTGAATTCATACTCCAAGGGGGCCATTGGTAAAATATATAGTGTAATGAATACTCATAATATGGGACCTCTGGCTCACGTGAAAAGATTGTGGGAAGAGGAACTGTCTATAAGAATCTCTGAGGATGTATGGGAATCTATAATGAAAAAAATTCATTCATCTTCAATATGTCAAAGACATCGAGTGATTCAATTTAAAGTTGTTCATAGACTGCATTGGTCTAAAGTAAAACTGGCAAAATTTAAATCAGACATAGATCCTCACTGTGATAGATGTGAAACCGAACCAGGTACTCTGTCTCACATGTTTTGGCTCTGTTCAAAACTTGAAGTTTTTTGGAAGTCTATATTTAAATTTATTTCTGACACTTTGGGGACAGTCATAGAGCCTGATGCCATGATCTCTATATTCGGCATTGTGCCGCAGCATTTTCACTTAAATCAAAACAACAAAAGCCTCATAGCATTTACTACTCTTTTAGCTCGACGGCAGATACTGCTTAAATGGAAAGACAAGTACCCTCCAACTTTCAAAATGTGGCTCATTGATCTCTTATACAATCTGACCATGGAAAAAATAAGGTATACTACAGCAGGCTGTGCCTATAAATTTTTTGATATCTGGCAACCGGTTCTGGACCAAATTAGGAAGGTGGATCCCTCTCTACTCTCAATTTCAGAGGAGTAATATACTGTACATACGTGTGCTCTCTTCTTTAAAACATGTTAATGATTTTTATTTTATTTTTATTTTTTTGCTTTTCCAATTAATATGTGTATTGGTGCAACAGGTGGGGATTGTTCTTGGGTGGGTGGGTTAACATAAAAAGAAAATGTATTGTAAAAGTGTATCTTATGTTTGATAAGATGTTCAATAAAAACACTTTGAGGAGAATGCCTTGACCATCCCCGGTGCAAACTCAAGGCAAGTGGGGAAAACCGAAGGAGCCTGAAGGTCTTCAACTCTTTTGAGGGACGAAATAGCTAGCAGAAAGATGGTCTTAAGAGTAAGAAATTTTTCTGAAACCGAATCTACGGGCTCGAATGGCTAATAAGGGCTCTAAGGGCTTCTAGGACTATTGCAAGGTCCCAAGCTGGCACCCTAGTGCGAGTTGCAGGCCTCAGCCTCAATGTGCCACGAAGGAAGCGTGTGATCAGGGGTCTCGACACAACGATGTACTATCCACTAGGGCGTGGAAAGCTGCAATGGCCGCCACGTAGACCTTGAGCATGGAAGGACATAGACCTGACGTAAAGTGCTCTTGAAGGAACTCGAGTACTGTGTTTACTGAACAGTTAATTGGATCCCACTGATGCTGGTGACACCACGAAGAAAAAACTCTCCATTTAAGTGCATAAAGTTTCCTCGTAGCGGGAGCTCTGGAGCTTAGAATGGTCTCAACAACCTCGTTTGAGAGACCACTCTCTATGAGTTGGGCCCCCTCAGAGGCCAAACCCACAGTTTCCAAATCTCTGGCCGGGGGTGAAATATTGTGACAGAAGGTCTCTCCTGATCGGGATCTCCAAGGGAGGGCCGTCGAGGAGATGAATGAGGTCCGCAAACCGAATTCGACTCGGCCAGGGTGGTGCTACTAGCAGAAGGCTTATTCCATCCTGGGGGATTCTCTCCAGAACTCCTGGGAGCAGAGCAACAGGGGGAAATGCGTACAGACTCAGCCTCGGCCACATCTGAACCATAGCATTCCAGAGTGGACAGTGCGTCGTATGCTGAGACACAAACAGATCCACTTCTGCCTGGCCGTAAAAGTCCCATATTTGCTCCACCGCCTTGGGGTGGAGTCTCCAGTCCCCTGGCCTCAGCCCCTGCCTCGACAGGGTGTGTGCCCCTATATTCTGGCCCCCTGGAATATACACTGCCCTCAGAGAGAGTATTTTCCCTAGGGACCACAGGAGGATCTGGTGCGCCAGTTTGCAAAGCGGACGCGAACGCAGACCCCCCTGATGGTTCAGATAAGAGACCACTGATGTGTTGTCTATCCGGACAAGCACATGATGGCCCCTCAGGTCTGGGAGGAAATGTCTCAATGCATTGAAGACAGCCATCGTCTCCAGGCAATTTATGTGCCAAGAGAGATGATGACTCCTCCACAGACCCTGAGCGGCTTTCCATTACCGCTCCCCAGCCGGTGAGGGAAGCATCTGTCGAGATAGCAACTCGATGGCAAAGAGCTCCCAACACCGGACCCTGGGTTAAGAACCAGTGTTTCCTCCATTTAACCAAGGCGCGGAGGCACCGCCGTGTGATCTTGATCATACGGAGTGGGTTTCCCCTCGGGGAGAACCCTCTGGTCCTGAGCCACCACTGCAAAGGTCTCATGTACAGCAGGCCAAAGGGTATCACTTTGGACGCTGCTGCCATGAGGCCTAACAGTCTCTCGAACTGTTTCAAAGTGCATGACTGCCCTAGCTTTAGCTCTTTTGTGGCTGTGAGGATAGCAGCTACACGAGCGGGCGATAGAACGGCTCGCATCGTGACTGAATCCCAGACCACACCAAGGAAAGTGGTCCTCTGTAATGGAGAAAGCACACTCTTCTTATCATTGAGCTACCTGAACTGACTGCTTTTGAACCCCCCTCAGAGGGTGCGAGTCTGACACAAGGTCGAGTTGACACTGCGCCAAAAGCTCGCTGGAGACCGCTGCGCCCCGAAGCACTAAGGGTGGCGGGGTTGGCAGAACGGTCCCGTGAGGACACCGAGATGGAATGGGCACCGTATTCTGAGGTGTACACCGCTCCACCCCGGTTGAGGCTGTCCTAACAGGTCTGACGCCATTGGTTTCGACTTTGGCTGAGAGTGTTGCGTCTGCTTCCAGTGTTTGTGTGGAGGTGCACGAGACGCAACACTCTCTTTCTGCTGCGCACGATATGAGGAGCTGGACGGCTGGGGCTGCTCACGCCCAGCAGCCCCAGGGGGTTGGACACGGCAAGGGATAAACTTCTTAAATGCCTTTACTGCGTTTACTGCGTCACCGAAGAGACCAGAAGGATCAATCAAAGCATCAAGGAGAAAGGATCTGTCAAGGCTCCAGCTTGACCTGCTGCCGTATATGCCTTGCCCACTAAGTTAGATGTTGTCTTAAGTGGCTGGACCGAGTGACAGATAGCTCGCGAGCGTCTGTTCAGCCCGGGGCATCGACTCATATCCATATTCCTTTAACCCCTTTATTCCAGAATATAAATGAACTTGGGGGCTAAATAAAACGTGACGAATATGGCTTATTCCACGATCCGGACAGCTCACTGTGCAGATCGGGGAAATAGGGAAGGCCCCGTGGTGGAGGTGAAACACTAGATGTAAGGAATGCATTCTCCGTGTTGCCTCGGCAACAGCGGGTCCTGCACCCTGAGGATCGCGAGCCTGGCCACTTTTCTCAAAAAGTGACAGGCGGGAGCGGAGCAAGCGAAGCAGAAGCATCTTGCAATGCTGGCATTCAGCCCCCTCGAAGGCTGAAACCGCATGCTCCACTCCCAAACAAATCACACAAAGCTCATGTGTATCCCCACCCTTTAAATAACGTGGGCAAGGAGAAGCACAGAGCTTGTAAACTTGTTTCGCCATCTTTCCCAATATATATATATATAAATATAACAGACAGAAAGTCACAGATCGCTTGCTGAGGCAACAGAAGCTAATGGCGATTGCACCGGATGTGCTTTTATCTCTTCCTTTATCATGACGTCACCCGCCCGTGATGCTCATTCTTTCCATTGGACTAGTGGACATAGATGCTTCAGTCGCATTCACGCTGGAGGCGTTCCCAAAGCGTCATCGGCGCATCGCGAGTTCCCTCGAAAGGGAACAGACACTCGGTGCATTCATTTGAATGTAATTTTTTGTGAATTCACTGGAAGAGAAAGGGGGCAGCGGAGTGAGATGAATCGTGCAAGAGTTGCGTGGCGCTCCATAAACAGCACAGTTTTCACTTGAATGTACTATATGAACCCAATTTCTACTGAATATAGATCCATGTATACATTTTATATTTAGATAATGGTTACATTACCACATTTTATAAGCTGCTGAACTGATAAGAAAAAGTCTGAGGAGATGAATAACTTTACAATGAACTTCACCACACCTGAAGCATCTACAAACTCCACAACTCATTCCACTGTTAATGGACTGTCTGGAAATCTATGTGTACAGCATCAATTTGTTTTTTAGTCTTATAATACACTCCTATGTTATATGGCTCATCATCACAGGAACAGAAAGTGGAGTTGCATCAGAGTTATTCAACCTCAATCTCTCTGTTTGTGAGCTTGGTATCTGCTGTTTTTAATAAACCCTTTGAATATTCGTTTTTTTATCATGGGGCCATCTCAGTAAGTATGGTTTGCCAGGTGACCATCTATATTGTGTGTGGGAGGGGCAGGTTTTGTCGATGACCCAGTGTCACCTTTCCCTTATGGAGGCTTTCCATTGAGAATGTTGCATTAAACTTGACATCCTATCATTACACAGATGATTAAAGAGTTTGTTCTCTCTCCTTTTCAAAATGCTTGGTATAAAAATTTGCATATTTGGTGTTGATTGAGTGGCAGGTGTGCTGGCCAGTGTCAGAAATATGGATAATTTCTTTAAAGATTTATGGACTATTTGCTTTTTCTATTGTATATATAAAAATCACATTAATTTAGCTGGCGTCTCAGTTTTTCTGTGAAGGTCAGCTTGTAAAATGTGGCTTGGTGCACAATTTTAAAGTCAAATCAACTCTGTAAAATCTGGAGAAATGAAAACAAAAAAGATGGTCCTGTAAAATTAGATACACACAAGACAGCAGATTCAATTCGAGACAAAAGGTGTCAACCGAACACAATTTAGTGTTCTTCCTTCTAAAAATCACTGAGCTTATAGTGCAGGGATGGGCAACTTCAGTCCTGGAGGGCCACTGTCCTACAGAGTTTAGCTCCAACCCTGAAAAAATCACTTGCCAGTAACTTTCTAGTAATCCTGAAGACCTTGATTAGCTTGTTCAGGTGTGTTTGATTAGGGTTGAAGCTAAACTCTGTAGGACAATGGCCCTCCTGGACTGAAGTTGCCCATCCCTGTTCTAGTGGGATCCTTACCTGGGAACTCAGAAGGCTTTGGATTCAGTGCCAGAATGGGAAAGGGGATTTACATTGGCATAGGTTACAAGTGTTACCAGTATCGGTTGGACTACCTAAAAGTCTCTCTGCTGAGTTAGAAAGGGTGCATAAAAGTTATTGTTGGATTATCAGTATTCTGATGAGGCCACCATATTAACTTTTACTTCATTAGTTCATTGCCATTGTTTCCTTATGGATCCAACACCTACTTATTCAATTTGGCGACACAGGGAACAAGTTGTGCCCAGGAGAAAAACAAAAAAAAACCATGAACTTTCTTTTATTACTCATGCTCTTCAATTGTTTTATAAATGAATTATATGATACATACATTGATTGTGTGATGTCTGATGCATTTTAGGTTGTTTCTAATAGGAAATGGAACTGTCTGTGCTGTAATGTCCCACAAAGATTAATGAAATAAATCTTCATTTAATCCAAGTGCATTTAAATTGATTTTTTTAAGAGATTTTTTTTACATATGGTTGTCTGAGTATGTGTTGTGTTTGACGTATTTCAGGGTGTGCTGCTAAAAGGAAAAGGAAATGTTCTCCTTTTCTTGTGCTGCAATATCATGCCTTGTTAAACTTAAAATAAAACTGACAACTAGAAAAAAAACCTTTTCTTGATTTATGTTTGTAAGTAAATGCCAATAAAATATCTCAAGCTTTCAATTTCTTTTCTGTTTAAATGTTTACTCAGTCAGTTTCTTTCTCTCTCTCAATCATTTTATAATTTCAATATTTGCCTATCTGGTGTTTCATGTGACGTGTAGCAGATGTCGTGCTCATATATTCTTGTGACAGCTATGAAGTCTACAAAACACAGCACAGAGATGTATACACATCCAGAGAAACTGGACATTCACTCTTCAGGTGATAAACTCAATTTTTTAATCAGTTTCTTGGTTTAAGGCACAGCAGTGTGCAAAAATGTTGATGTTTTTCAATATCGTCAAAGGGCATGTTTTGTTTAGCAGTTTTAGCTCTGGTTATTTGAGTTTAAATTGGAAACTTTCTTGAAATACATATTGGTTCATTTATACTTCTGTTTTTTCCTCTTTTTCATATGATCTGTGGGTTACTGAACTGAGAAGACAAACAAAGGAAATAAATACCTTTTACAATGAACTTCACCACAACTGAAGCATCAAACTCCACAATGCATTCCATTGGGTTAATGGACAGTCTGGAAATCTGTGTGTACAGCATCAATTTCTTATTTTGTCTTCCTACACACTCCTATGTTATATGGTTCATCATCACAGGAACAGGAAGTGGAGTCGCATCAGAGTTCTTCATCCTCAATCTCTCTGTTTGTGAGCTTGGTATCTGTCTGAATAGTGTGATCTTTGTATTGTCAATGTGGTTTACAACTCTTTCAAGTTTTGAACTATTTTTAATAGGACTTACCATCACTGGCCGTCCTCTGTTTCAGTGTCTGATGTGTGTTGAGCGTTACCTGGCAGTCGTTCATCCTGTAACCTTTCTGAAGTACAAACCTCTCAGATATAGAGTGATCTGCTGCACTGCAGCCTGGGTAATTAATTTAGTCTCTTGTTTGTGTTGCATGTTCAATTTAACCTCACAAAACAGATATATACATACATGGCTCTCGTCGATGCAAATGGTACTGGTCTTCTCCATCCAGTTGTTTTGTGTTGTGGCTGTTCTCCGAGCTCTGAAGCAGTCCGGACCAGGAGAGAGAGAGAAAAAGGAGGAAAACCACATGAAGAGACGAGCGTTTAATATTATTCTAATAACTACTGTAAGCATGGTTATCCTATATGTTCCAAGAATAATCACAGGATTCTTTGAAATTCGGACATCAGACAGTTCTCCGACAAGCTGGTTTCCTGCTTTGACTTGTTTTATCATGGCTGGTTTTGTTCAGCCTGTTCTTTTTCTGCACCGCACTGGAAAACTTTCCTGCCTCTGTTCGTCATAGAATTTCCAGTACTAGATTAAGTTAATCGTGCAAATTATTGATAACTTTTGATAAAGTAGAAATGCAACACATGGGCATGTGTATCTCTGATGATTGTGACTACAGTGCAAATACATTTGTCATCTCTGTCACAATAAATATTATGTGTAAATGTACCTTGTCATGGTTTACATTTCATAATTTAATACATTCTGAAGATTTGCATATTAGGTGTTTCGATTTCCATTTTCAGATGTATAAAGATTGTTTGTGATGTCTGGACATTCATTGTTCCATTCATAATGTCTCCTTTAAAAGCTTGATTGACATTTTATTATATTTTCTTTTACTGTAATGAACCATTTACCACATGAGTTCAAATGAGGTCATACAATAAATCAATTTAAAAAGCAATTTAGAAATCAGGCACTGTCATAATTTAAGATTATGATCTTGTGATCTATTTATCTATTTTATTCAGTGTTGTTTTTTCATTTAAAAACAGGCATTATAACATTTACTTATATTTGCATACCTGGTGTCAAGTATTATTGTAACAGCTGTAAAGTCAGTGTACAAAACACACAACATCCAGAGAGACTGACATTCACTCTTCAGGTGATAAACTCCTCTTTTTTTAAAATCAGTTTGATTTGACTTAACTTCTAGTTCAACTAAAGTTTAGTTGTATAACGATGAATTTCCCCCACAAAAATAAATAAATAAAATAACCAAGTACATAAATAAATAAATGTACTGCAATTATTGAACTTTATCTTGCCTCCCATTTACATCTGGTCAAAGAATTTCATCAACATCATAGCATATATTTTCATGAGTCTTGGGAAACAAACAACTACACAATTTCGCTCAATTTGCTCCTGATCACCTTGCGGAAAGTGGATTTCATTGAGGGAGTTTAAGAAGTGTAGAAGCCTTTCTGTGTTGTACGCCCCCAAGACAGCGCTGTGTGCCACAACACCAGTGGACTGCACTCCAGCACTTGTTGTCCAGGGACATTTGGCACAGTGTTTATATTGGGCTGAACTCTCTGTCCAGCTTCTAGCAAGGAAAGGCCATCATTTATGACATGGTCAATTACAGTGGCTCCACTCTGACTTCATTTGAAACCCGTCTGTACTTTATCTTTCTACCTCTCCTCCGTCCTCTGACACCTTGCTCTCCCCTTCCCCTCTGTCCATGTCTTCTTGTATTTTCTGCTCTTTCCTCTAATACCATTGCCTTCCACTCTCTCTTCTCCTCTTCCTACATCCCCAGCTCTTATACTTCTCCTAAATCCTCAACTCTTCTTGCTCTCTTCTTCTCTACTCTTCCTTTTCCCATTCCTCTTCTTTTTTTCTTTTCCCCTTTTATAGTTTTTGTAATTGAGGTAAACAATTAGGAAGTTTGCATTTCCTGTGTTCTGTGTATTACAGTAGGCTATACTAACTCAGCAGAACTTTATTTGTGGCTAATTGAGAAGATCCCGAGTGCAACTGAGAGTTTTGTTTGTTGTGTTTGGAAAAATGGTGCACAAATGATTGTGATTTTTGTAAAACCAATAAAAGGAGCTGCAATTGTTTTTTCCTGATATATTAAAGTTTTGGTTGACTGTATTAACTGTGAAAACATTTCAGAATTTTGTGCACAGCGTTTTGAAACAATGATGCACGTGATTTGCAATTTGCATGAAATGAAGGAAAATGTACAACCTGTTTAGGGCAGTTACAAAGTGTTCAGCTCACTGTGTTCACTGTTTAGAGAACAGTGACCTGAGTTTGGAGAAATGTGTCAAATCGATTAAACTGTAGGCCTAGTCATTGTGCAAATTGTAGACAAGTTTACTTACTCTTTTGCATACACGTGCCAAAACATGCAATTTGCTTAAATCAATAAGAAATTCAAATCTGATGTGAACAAGAAACGAATTGGTCAGAGATCTGAACTTTTATTGTTTCTTTTGAGAGAAAAAGTCTCATTTGGGAATTGAGCCAAAGCGACTGAGAAAAACTGTAAACTCCTGCTCCCTAGTGGCTAAACATGAGAACATCCACGGCAGGTCCATTTTTTACATTCAGAGGGCGCTTTATTATTTTATAATATAAATTATAAGCGTTGAAATCTATCAATTACAATTACTGGTGCTTAACATTTATAGGGAAATCCTTATCAGTAAGTAATCGCAAACATCAGTGATTGACCGTTGACCCCTTCTGCCATTGAGCGCTGAGAAAAGAAGCGCGTGTCACGTGTCAATAACGAATAATGATACTGAAAAGTAACATTGCAAATAGACAGAGTTAAAATAGGAAAATTATTTTTTAGATGAATCGAGCATTACCAGTCAAACAATACTGTGAGATTCTTTTTTATTACGTTAATAATTATTTTATTAAAACCCAGTTTGTAACGGTGCTTTGTGTTTGTATATTTTATATTTCTAATATATATGTATAGCATTGCATCAGGTATTATAGTTTTCTCGCATCCAAAAAGAGAAGGAAACGAAGTAGAAAAAAAGAAAAGGAAAAAACCCTCAAAATCTCTACACGTCATCACGACGTCATGTAACAATACGGAAGTGAAACTATCGAGTCTGTACCTGAAACAAACTGATGGTGCTGTACTATACTTGTACGACTATCCTGTCTCGAAAAAAAAATCATTTATTAGTTTTGCACGGGTTAAAACTAATAAGCAAATGCAGAAAGAAGTGTTGCCATTCAATTGTCTGGTGTGTTTCTTTAGCATAAAAAGCTCGAGCAGGTGTATAAAAACAGCAGGATATTTAGTTGTGTAAGTTAGTGTTGCTTTAAAGGGAAGAAGAACACCAGTTGTAAGCAGCATTTATTCTGTCTGAAGCTATTTTTTTACAGTCTATGGTCTGAAACTGATATTATGGATCAGTACTCATTGGTGAGAGTCATTGGCGAAGGATCTTTTGGTCGAGCTCTCTTGGTTCAGCAACTAAACGAAGAGAAACAAAATTATGTGATGAAGGAAATACGACTGCCAAAGGTAATGAAATCGTAATAATAATAATAATAAAAAAATGCAGTCTGTACTGATCGATAACGTGCATGAAAGAGGTTCTGTGCTGTATTGTGTTGATGTTATACAGAATGTCATGCATTTATTATAGGCTGAGGCTGGGATGAGGAACAGCAGAAGAGAAGCAGTGCTTCTGTCCAGAATGAAGCATGCGAACATTGTGGCATTCAAAGACTCTTTTGAAGGTTTGTCAAGAGTGTTTTATATACTCTAGTCTATACTTATATAGACTTCAACTTCACAAGATCAAAGGCTGTAAAAAAAACACATGGTCTCTCTCTCTCTCTCTCTCTCTCTCTCTCTCTCTCTCTCTCTCTCTCTCTCTCTCTCTCTCTCTCTCTCTCTCTCTCTCTCTCTCTCTCTCTCTCTCTCTCTCTCTCTCTCTCTCTCTCTCTCTCTCTCTCTCTCTCTCTCCAGCTGATGGTCATCTGTACATTGTGATGGAGTTCTGCAGTGGTGGAGATCTTCTTCAAAGGATACGGCAACAAAAAGATGTTCTGTTCTCAGAGGACGTGGTATGACATAGATGATAGTACCCTTCTCAGATTAATTCTTTAAAGTAGTCAGGTTTATAATACAAGAATGGGTCTAGTCATATTTCAAATACTGTATATATATCTCAAATACTTTATATATATATACATTTATGCATTTGGCAGACGCTTTTATCCAAAGCGACTTACATTTACATTCTTATCAGTTCTTGCTTTCCCTGGGAATCGAACCCATGACCTTGGCGTTGCAAGCACCATATATATATATATACATACATACATACACCCTATTTTACTGCTATTCATATTTTTTATATTATTTCCATAACAATTAAGCACATACCTCCTCCCCCATTCGCATTACTGCAATGTAAACTGCAAAAGAAACAGCAAGATATTATTTCATTTGTAATGTATTTATACATAATATTTGTATTTTTACTGCTTTTAATTTAATTTATTCTTCTATAAATACAATACAGTATAACAGTTTAGTAAAAATGTTATTCCATCGAACTATAAATGAAAAGTGCAGTAATGAAAATATAATAAGAGCATTGCATATCGAGTAATAAGAATGTTACACATCCAGTATAAGGATAAAGGGGGGAAAATCTAAGTCATAAATCTAAAAATGCTTTACCCTAATGAGAGTTGTGTGGGGAAAAGGTGTCTTCAAAATAATGTCACAATGCATAAAATAAAATAAAAATGTACATTTTATGTAAATATATTTTCTTTATTTTTTATTTTGGGCAAAGTATGACCCGGATATATATATATATATATTTTTGTGAGAAATCATCTTGAAAGTAACATTGAAATACCCAAAAATATGATATAATTGTGGTACAGTTATTAGTAGAATATATCTTATTGTTTTTGGGTTTTGTAATGAGTACTTGAACTTGATAGTAGATTTTAAATGATTAAGAATAATTAGGAAATGTGTGTTTTGTTTTGTTTTAATGTCATCTCTCGGTTGTAGATCCTGAAGTGGTTTACACAGATGTGTCTAGGCACCAAACACATTCACGACAAGAGAGTACTTCACAGGGACTTAAAATCAAAGGTGCGTGTCACTTTGTGTCTGGTAACATTATCTTACTGTAAAAGTTGTATTTATTATTTAGTTTACAAAACAAATGGAGTTCAAAGAAATGAAGCCTAAAGTGTAGTATTTATACTTTTTGTACATTAAGCTTTCAGCCACAACTTTTCTGCCCTGCAAAGTCAAAACACAGTTCTGTAATTACACCAACCACATCAATATGATCGAGAGATTCAGGAGGAAATTGTGATCATCAGATTATTATTTTTCCCATCATTTTCAATACACTATTTTGACTAAAACTTTAAAAAAAAATATGGGGTCAATGACATGACTCTCATTTTTGGTCTGGATCTATTATTTTATTAAAAATACAGTTTATAACTTGAGATCATCTTCTATGAGCATGTTTTTAATTTCTGAATTAAAATTAATTCTTATTTTCTATTTATTTCTTAGGGCATAAAGTAAAAAATGTCAGGGTGATACAACTGTCCTGATGTCACAATTAAGAAGGAAAAAAAACTTCACTACCAGAATTAAATTCATATTATTATCTTTTATTATTATAACCAGTGTTGGGGAAAGTTACTTTTAAAAGTAATGCGTTACAATTTTGCATTACTCCCTAAAAAGTAACGTAGTTACTTTTTATGGAAAGTAACGCGTTACATTATTTTTCCGTTACTTTTTCTCACCTGGGCTGGGCTTGCTTGTTTGCTTTTTAAAGTACAATTTTTAAATTAGTTTAATTACAAAAAAAGTTTTATTTTTGGCAAATGTAAAGGCCCTTTCACAACAAAAGTGAGCTGAATAAGCCTCAGACTGATGGAAATGCATATTGACTACTGTCCAGTAGAGAGCGCCGGTCAAGCAATCCTTTCATTCTTCTGACATTCTGGATCACAGAAGAATGAAAGTTCACTGATTTAATCAATTTTGAGGAATACTGAAAGTGTTTTTGTGCAAGTGAGATGAGTTCACATTTAGTCTAGATCTACATTAATCATCATGTTCACGCACAGCGCACACAACGCCTCTGCTCTCACTCACGATTTCTCTCAACACGGGGACAGGAGAGCTGTCAGTCAATATATGAGAAAACAAAGTAACTTCTGTTACTTATTTGAAAAAGTAACTCAAAGATTTAGTTGTAAATCTAAAAGTAATGTTAACTAGTTACTTGAAAAAAGTAATCTGATTACATAACTCGCATTACTGGTAATGTGTTACCCTTACACTGATTATAACTTTAAAAAAAAAAAAAAAAAAACGTTTGTCTGCCAAATCAAAGTCGTGTGGTGCAACCAATGGCAAAAACGTCAAGGTTTTGTATAAATAAAAAAATAAAAAATCTTACATCTAAAAGATCTGAGACCTGGTTTTGGTTCCAGTACTGTGATTGGCCGTTGTAGGCCAGTGTTTTCAGATCAAAATCACAGTCTAAAGAATGGAAAGTTGAGATTTAAGTAGAAGAATGGATTAATGATGCATGCATGAAAGTCAATGCTAGTTTCTTTCCCATTTCCATTGCAGAACATTTTCTTGACAGACGGTGGAACTGTGAAGGTGGGGGATTTTGGTTCGGCTTGCACTCTTAACAGGTATTCAGCCAAATGTTTGTCATTCGTTCACAATTCAGTGCAAGAACACAGCCATGTGAGTGACACGTTTTGATATGCACTGATTTTATATGTATTTCTGCAGTGCAAAAGCATTCGCTCAGACCTATGTGGGTACTCCGTATTACGTGTCCCCAGAGATATGGGACAACAAACCTTACAATAATAAAAGGTACAACTTTCCTGATAATAATTCCCTCAGATTGACACCAGCTTTACATTTTAAAATACATTTGGACTAATATGCGAGTATATTACAGTGACGTCTGGTCTCTTGGCTGTGTCTTGTATGAACTTTGCAGCCTCCAACACCCGGTATTTTCCTCTTGACATTCTCAATGACTTTATGCATCAGACGGTGTAAAGAGTCGCACTTTTATAGTGTGTTTTAGATTATTAAGGAACTTACCCTAACATTTCCATGTTTTCTTTTACTGTCGCGCGTCCCTTCATCAGTTTCAGGCTCGTAGCTGGAAGAGTCTGATCTTGAAGGTGTGTCGAGGGACGTACGCACCCTTACCCAGTCACTTCCCCTATGAGCTGCACTACCTCATCAAACACATGTTTAAGACTAACCCCAGAGACAGACCCTCAGTACACACAATCCTCAGCTCTCACCGCGCGTCCCGACTGCTGCAGAAACACCTGACGCCAGAGGTACATTTGGAAAACACTTCAACGTTTTATGGAGCGATTCAGGAGGAAATCGCGATCAGCAAATCAGATTGTAGATTTCTTAACAGTCATTGTAACAAAATTACAATCAATCCAGTCAGCAGCTTATAAAAACAAAACACTATAAATCAAGATAGAAGTCAATATTTAAAAAAAAAACTGTTGTGATCATTAAAGTGCATAAGCAAGAATATAAATAGATCCAAGTCCATAGATAAATGAGTGGTAAACGAATACTGGTGGCAAGTATGTGATTTTCAGTGAGATTATACATTCATCATTTTCATTAGATCATAATTTTGACTGAAACTTGAAAAAACTGTATTAATGGTCTATGGCATGATGCTCAATTTTGTCTGTATTTATTGTTAAAAACATAAAAGGGGAGTAAAAGTAATGCAAAAGTAATGTAACGCATTACTTTCCAGAAAAAGTAACTAAGTAACACAATTAGTTACTTTTTTTAGGGAGTAACACAATATTGTAACGCATCACTTTTAAAAGTAACTTTCCCCAAACACCGGTCGCAAAGTAATTTCTTCATAACAAGTACCTACTAAGAGTGGATGCGATTTCGAAAAGCTAAAGCCTAAGTCTCTTAAAAAATATATTTTTTTGATATCTTTTAATAAGGTCAGTTATAGTTTATATGTGTCTTTGGTGCAGCTCCCTAAAAACCTGAATAATACAAAAAAAAAACTATTTACATTGAAAATATATTTAAACATCTTTGGAAATAATGATTAAAATGTGTACTCAAATTTGCATGTATTGAAGGTGTAAGGAAAAGATGTTATTGCTTTGATGGTTAGACCGCATGACATCAGAAATTTTTTGGGAGATGGCTTTTCAAAACTACATTAAACGCATGGATGAACTAGATTTGAGCTTTTTCTTTTCTTTATCACATTACTTAAACTACATTGATGATCATTTGCAGCAGCTCTTAATTCCTCTCTGCGTTTTGCCGTGCAGAAAAAAGAACTGGTGGGAGAACGAACACGCCATTGGAGAAAAGAGGAAGGAGAGAAAGTGGCCATGTTTTTAGGCCAGAAGAGTTTATTGACCACATCTACCACTGAAGGTACACTTTGCTGCAAGTTAATATTCCCCATTTTAGTTCAAACTTCACCTGTAGTGAATCAACCTAACTGATTAACTAACTGTGGTCAGGAGCTTTGCAAGCAGGACAGTCCCGTATGGAAAACAACAGCAGCGATGACCCAGCTTCTCGTAAGAGGTGGGCAGTCGGATCGTGTAATACAGTGCTGGGGGTCCTGGGAAATGCTGACATCATTTCCACTGGTAGCATGGACACTGCAGAACGGCCTGACCTCATTTCAGGTACAACAACACATGGCATTGCAGTGTTTTTACCATGGTACTTTTTTGAAAACCTTGGAGTGCCATATGGTAAATATCATGGTATATTAATATGGTAGTCATTTAGCAGCATGGTTTTACCCATCACTGCGCAATGGTACCACCACAATTCGGTTTTGTCTATGTATGGAAAAGCAAAGTGAGTAAGAATTTAATTCTATTTATCATTTTTTGTCCTGCTAAACATCAGCAAAATCTCCATCATTGATCAAATGGCGGTTAGTAGCAGTTCTTGCATCCTCTGATTGTGTTACAGAGGCCGAGAGTGTGGAGACCCAGCGGAGACGAGTGAGGAAACAATGGGACAAAGATCCACCGGAGAGACTCCTGAGCGTTCTGGAGAAAGCACAGCTCTGCTATGGCTTTGAGACGTACTCTATACACAGAGACGGTCAGTCTGCTCACATCACATACATCAGGGAACAGGAGTTTATGACATTAATAACAGTGGAGTGAACAGCTGACTAAAGGCCCCGATATGCTTTAAACCAGGGGTCTCCAACACGTCGCTCGCGACCTACCAGTAGCTCGTGGCCTGATTGGAAGTAGCTCGCCAAGGGGCCGTTCACATATCGTGTCTTTTTCGCGCTCAAGTTCGTTATTTCAAATGTAGGCGCTTGGGCAAGCGCGCTCATAATTGAAGCGACGCGTTCATTTTTTCCAGGCGCAGCGAGATGAAAACGCCTCAACTTTTCAGAATGCCGCGAGCGCACCGCAGTTCATGTGACAAGAACCAACCAATCAGCTTCACCCTTTCCGTAACAACATTGAAAGCTCAGTCAACATGAAGGATGGGGGTGCACCCAAACACTGCGGGTGTTTTTCTCTTCTCAGTAAATAAATCTTGTAGCAGAGCTACAGCAAGCGTTTTTCGGTGGTGGAAATCCATTAGCTACTAAAACTTCTTTGTCGTTGTGGAGAGCATATGGTTGCATAGCAACGACAGATGCCACGGGAAAATCGGACCGAATTTTACTATTAATAATAAAAGATAAGCTGATGTGCATTGTAAATGTCAGTAATTTATCTTTTTTGACTCATTCTTTTTATAAAAATGATTTAAAGGCTGAAATATGTGAGGTTTATCTTTTTTTTATAAAACCTTTTTTTGTCAAAACTTTATTTGAACTTGTACGTTAGTAGATAACATGTTGCAAGACACTCCTTTAAAATCTGGCCATCATTTTTAATGTTATTATTTTAATGTTTATTTAAACTATTTTTTTTTTATTTGCTGGTTTTCGACATATAACTTGGTGAATTGATTTTATTTAGTAGTATTTTTTAACAGGATTCTGTGATAACCGTGATAATTTTGGTCACTATAATCATGAAAGGAAATTTTCATGCCATTTCCTCTCTAGTTATGATGCACTATAAAATCAACTATTATTATGTGTTTACAGTATAATATGCAAAGTACAATTTTCTATAAAAAAATTAATCTCTGATTCTGTTCTTTTCTCTGACATTTAAGGGTGACATATATAGGCCTACAAAAACTCTTTTAGGTCTAAAACAGTTTGGATCGCTGTTAATATGAGTTATGAGACATTATTTAAGAGATTTAAGTATTGTATTACATGAGTAGCTCTCGGCCACTTTCATTTTTAAAAAGTAGCTCTCAAATGAAAAAAGGTTGGAGACCCCTGCTTTAAACGATATCGAAGAACGAACTGGTGTGACGTCATTCTGAACAAATTCAGGATATCTTTTGTTCGTTTCGGGAGTTCGAAACAGCTTCCCAAATTGAACTTTCCGGAAAAGCTACAGCTGGTAAACAGCTCTGAACTACCATTGGTCAGTGGTGATGATGTAATAGGTGGGCGTGGCTCTGAGGCTCCGCTTCTTAAGCCCCGTTCACACTACAAGCGACTTTGTCGCTGCATGTCGCCAGTGGCTGGCGATGAGGTCGCTAGTGGGAGTTCCCACTACTGGTTGCCTTTATGAATGACATCCAATGATGTGGAGAAGGATCATACGCGCTCCGCTCCTATTGGTTGTCGCTCCCGAAAGTCGCTCCTCATTTGCATAAAGTTAAACAGATCTCAACTTTGTCGCGTCGCCAGACACGCCCCATCCGGTCGCCAACGGTCGCTGTCGCGCGTGTCGCCGGAAATCGCCAGCTCCCCATTGAAATGAATGGTATCGCGTCGCGTGTAGTGTGAACGGGGCTTTAGACGTAAAAAATCTCCTCTGGTTCATTTCTTCAGTTGAGATCAGACGTCCGCTAGTAAAAACAAACACTGGAGAGCCGCTTTATAGTACAAAATATAGCTGTAATTCTAATTAAAAGAGACACTGACACTGTTTGCTTTTAAACTATCAATAGTATAAAGTGACTTTACTTGACTGGAGGGCCGTGAAGAAAAAAAAACACTTTTAATATTATTTATACTTAAATTTCTGACATAATATTTTATGCTTCACATGACCTCATGTATATTACACTGCTGTTCAAAAGTTTAGGGTAGGTGACATTTTTTTACGTTTTAGAAATGTGTCTTCTGCTCATCAAGGCTACATTTATTTGATGAAAAATACAGTAAAAGCAGTAATATTGTGAAAATAATATAACAGTTTAAAATGACAATTTCTATTGTAATATATTTTAAAATGTCATTTATTCCTGTGATCAAAGCTGAATTTTTAGCATCATTGATTCAGTGTTCAGTGTCAAATGATCCTTCAGAAATCCTTCTAATATGCTGATTTAATGCTGAAAAAATGTATTTCTTCTGAAATTCTTTCAGGATTCTTGGATAAAAAGAAAGATCAAAAGAACAGCATTTATTTTGAAATAGTTTTTTTTTTGTAACAATGTAAAAGTTAAAATGGTAAAATTCTACATCATTTGAAATGTCCTTGTAAAAGTATGAATTTATTTATTTCTTTAAAAAGTACCTTTGATCAGTGTTCACCCTTTTAAAAAAGCACATTTTCTTGTTTTCCATTTCTATCCGACATCTTAATTTGCGGCCTACGCTCACATTTCACTCCCTGTAGGTGTTTGATATTGTAGATAAATATTATCTTTTGCCATATCATGTCAGGAAAGACTAAAGTTCATTAAGTTTGCATGCATGCAATGTGGTCAGATACTGTCTACATGCACCGTCTTAGCAAAATCCCAAAATGTTTTTGTGAGTCAATTTCATAGTGACCTAAATCTGAATCTGATAACATCTACAGCAAAGTGGAGTAGAGAAAATAGTATTTTATTTCAATGCATTAGACACAAACTATCAAAGCAAGCAACATTCATTTTAAAGAAAGATACTGTAGCCCAAACTCACTTTTCAAACTAAATAATAAATAAAATAAAAAACTTTATTATGTCTATTTATTGTTCTATTTTCTGTTTCTTTTTATATTAATTTATCTATGTTTTTAAAAAATAAGCTAATGCTGTATTAGTTAACTTTAAAAGTTAAAGTGTAACACATAGTGCCTGTGCTTAATGGGATGATTTTCTCAGCAGGGTCTTCAAGCCCAGAGCCTGGAGACAAAGTGGACGGCCCTGAGGAGACGATCACAGACTTCAGTAGACTGGAGCCGCGCTCAGACGATGAAGACACGTGAGTTTCTCCTGTTTTCCCTCTCTCGGTACTGTCTCATATCTCCATTATTTCCTATAAACCTCACGTTACTCTCCTGACTGCAGGGATTTTGAAGAGGAGTGTCCGTATGACTGGATAAATGAACTAGAGAAGATGGTGGAGGAACACTAGCAACTCAAGTGTGTTATTGTACATGTAAATATGTTTTATTTGTATTCGATTTTGAGGATTCTGACATGAAAGACATAAGAGACTGTCGCGAAAATATAACAGTAAAGTGATTTCTAATTCCAAGAGCCTGTTGTGCTTTATCCTATCCATTTATAAAAAAAGACTTTCTTTCACGTGTGATCAAACGTGTTGAGGGATGTCATAGTGTGCTGTTTTTATGTGCCAACATCTCATGTAACAATGAAGGTGTCCATGGTAACACATTTGTGTTTAATAACAGAAATCAATCAATGTCTCATTCTCAAAAATGCATTTATGATTGTCTTGTTTAAGCCGGACAAGTTAAGCGACTAAATACTAAATAAACAATAAAGAGAAGCATATTAATCGCACCTGTCAAGAGCATATATATATAGTTAAAACAATCAGAGCACATGAAAATAATGTCATAATTATTGACTATATTTAATTATAAATTAAATATAATTAACCTGAAAAGGCTCCATTTTATGTTAATTGTAATTTCTCTTTTTTCTTTTTAATTTCAGTGTGAAAAGTGACGATTAGCCTCTTTCTGCTGTCTCTTTTTCACACTCTTTTGATTTTTTCTTTTTTTTTATGAATATAAAGTTCAAAAGATCAGCATTTATTATAATATATTTGTGAAACAATGTAAAAGTCTTTACTCTCACTTTAAAAAAAAACGGAAAAAAAAAACGTACTGAACTTACTGACTCCTATATATAATATATAAGCATAATGTAACAACAGCTGTAGAAACTCACCTGAATCCACTTACTAATCCTCCTGGCACACTTTTTTAAAATTTGCTCAAGAAGGTTGTAGAGAAAGTGTGTCTCTTTTCATGACCACTAGATGGAATGCAAAATGTGCAGATGGAAGCTGTTGCAGGGAAATGGATGAGCTTCTAAAGACTTCGTAAATAAGATTTTGATTTTCACCATGCGGAAATAACCGCTGCCTACAACCTGATGAAGATGTTCCAATGATAAGCTTTATCCTCCCCACATCTTGAAAGGAAACCCTGTCATCGGCTGACAGGATGCAAAACACTTATTCACATGTTACAGTAGATTTCATATAGTATTATTGTGAGGTCATTGATATACTGTCATTCTTAGGTTGAAATTACTTTATGCATTATACTGCAGCATATTTTGTTTTATGGGGCACATTATTAATATTTAGTTTTTTGTTTTTTTATTATATGATCTTGACCACAATGTGGAGCTGGTGTGTGCTGTACTGTACTGTAACAGTAATTGTACATTATTTTATGCCATATTGCCTATATATTATACTGTACATAGGGGTCAGTTTATTTTTATTTTTAAATAAATTATTTTATTTAGAAAGGATGCATTAAATTGGTCAAAAGTGAGTGCTAAGACTTTTCACGAATATATTCTAATGAATGCTGTTCTTTTGAATTTTTTTATTCATCAAAACAAAAAAAAATCTAAAATGTATCACGGTTTCCACTAAAATATTAAACAGTACAACTGTTTTTGACATTAATAATAATTTAAAGTGTTTCTTGTTTTGTTTATAGAAAACAACAAATATTGAACTTCTATTTTGGTGATAATTCACCCCATTTCTTATGTTTTTTGTTGCTTAATTATAGGTGGACCATCCAAGTAAGTGTTGATATTACAGTAGATGAGGAAAGAAATGCTCAAACCTTGCACTTGAAAACAAAAACCTGTTCAAACCTGTGTATAAATCCTGGTTAAATTATTCAAACTAAGGGCTCTGATGAAAGGAATGCTGCCACACTCTTGCCAAGGCTGAGAGGACTCAAAGTCAGTTTGCAGTTTTGCCAGCTCTGCTTGATTTACGAGTGGTCTCGGGCTGACTGTCGAGGCGCTTGGTGTGCAGATAAAAGACCCCAGTTGTGTTCATAAGGAAATGCTGGGCCAGCGTTGAGGCCTTATCTGAAAGCCACATGGAGTGCCTCAGAGACCAAGTCTAGGCCCTCTAGCCATTTTTAATTTTCCCCGTTTACCTCAAGTTGAAGCTTGCTGTCTTATGAGAGACAAAGATAAACATATAAGGATGTGCATGTAAATATGATACACTCATTCTGAAAGACCTCTGTTCCTGTTATTGTGGTTTTAGGCTGCTCTATTTTGGCTTAGATGCTTAATAAAAGGGATAGTTGTTACAACCCCGTATGACTTTGTACTGTAATAGTACTGTTCTGTTCTTTTTCGTTCACTTGCAGTACAATGAATGTGGAAGGAGCCCTTCGTTTATGATGTCAGATGATGGCCTCCACAGCCCTTGGATGGAATGAATTGTATTTAGTGTAATTTAGACATTATTGTAAGTGAGTTACGGTGAAACAGACAATGTCTAGCCAACCAATGACTCGATTAGAGCTCGGTCAGAGAAGAAGAGATGGTAGATATTGTGCACTTCAAACTGTTCTGAAAACAGCACTGCAAGGTCACCTGTGTATTATCTATCTATATTAGGGCATGACTTTTCAAGCAGAGGCTACAGAATTACATTGAAGGAGAGACCTGAGCCTTAAAGTATATCCAGAATTGGGTTTGGGATCTTTTGACTTTGGCCTTACATCTCAGAGTGGTTACATACAGTACAACCAAGTGTGCAGTGAGGTGGGAGGTGTGTTAGTCCTGATAGTTCGTAGCCATAACAAATTAGCAACATTATTAACACAATGGGTTGTTCAATCCTTTCAGAACAGTCCAAAAACAATTCATTGAGAACAGTCCAGGAAAAATAATTGTCCATTTTGATTTCACAGTCAATTTTGATATCAACTTTAACAAATTGAACCTTTGCACAGTGAGAAAATGAACCAAAAAAATCCTCTTTTTTTTTCAACGCTGGTTTGTCAGTATGCCGTTCCTCCACTGAACGCTGCCCACACCAGCACACACACTAGCCAGTGCGCCATTAAGCATTTCCTCTGCAGGATGGAGACATGAAGTCATGTCTATCGAAAGAATAACAAACAAATCAGTAAAGAAAAGTTACATTGTTTTAATTGTTAGGCTGCACAATGCTCACACATTGTAGACACACAGTGTGTCTGCTGACTGGTGTCGCACTCTCTGATCCTCTGTTGCATTTTGTGCGAATGTTCCCCGCTTTGAATAGTTCGTAGAAACAGAAGCGTAGGGTCTGACCTTGAAGTGGCAAAACGGTAATTATAATGTGAATAGAGGTGTGAAACCACTCAAGGGCTTTAGAGATGTTTTTGCTTGTTGCATGCACGCATATTTAGTATCAACCCTTTCTAAAGGATATCCTGTAACTTCTCTTCACTTTTTATCAGTTTAATGCATCCTTGCTGAATAAAATGAACAATTTCTTTTAAAAAAAACATCTTTGAATTTGCCTGTTATCTATATCAGCTGTTTTTACACATTATACTACTTTATACAACATCTCTTTCTCGTTTGTCCCTGTCAGACTTTATTTTCTGCTCCACACCTCTTTCTCTGTCTCTTTGTCTTCCTTACGGATGGTCACACCACTCTCCCATTTACCGTCTGTCCGTGTCTGAATCAGACGCCACAGGAAGAGGATGAGTCCAGCACAGATGGACACTGACCTACTGATCTCCGCTTTCTACAGACTCCATTAAGCTCTCTATTTATTTGTGTCACGACTTCTGAAATTGCAGACACAAAGCATTTATAAAATAAACTGTCTGGTCAGGTCTTCCTCTGGAAATGGTGAAATTGAACCCGAGTGTTCACTAGTGAATTTGGTCTGTTCATAGTGCTGCACAAATCCTCAACACTTTACAGATGCTTAAATAATGTAAAAAGGAAAGGATTTGGGTTTAGTCCTCAGTTGTAAGTCGCTTTGGATAAAAGTGTCTGCTAAATGACTAAATGTAAATGTGTTTTTTTATCAAGGATTCTGTTGTTGTTGTGTTTGTTGTTTTTGCATTATGATATTATTTTCATGACTTTAACTCTTTCCCTGCCAGTTTTTATCAACACTTGAATATGGGTAAGTTTCATAAACAAAAGCATTATTTTGAACAAAAAGCTGAGAAAATCACGTATTTGTCAAAGACTACATCTATATCGGATTCAGAACAATAATCAAAACATAGATGGAGTCCATCAACACCCCTAATGCTTGCACAGTCCTGTAGCTCATCCTAGATATAGATATATTAATATCACAGACTGCATTTCCCATCATCCTCCCTGGCACATAAGTCACACACACCTGGAACTCATCTAGCCCTGATCACCAGCACTATATAGAGCCACACACTCCCTCAGTCATTAGCCGCGTTTCCATTACACATTTGCGCAAATATGGCGACAGACATTGGTAGGTTCACGTATATCGTAGCCACCGCACTACCCGTTATTTATTATCGAAGGAGATGTTTGCGCATTATACAAGCGTTAATGGCAAGGCAAGCCCCCTATACTTGGCAGCGGCCACGTATGCGTTTTTTCTGGGAAGTTATGGTGCACGATTTCACAGAGGACCTGTGGATTCAGAATTTCCGGATGAACAGATCAACGTTTTTTGAGTTGTGCAATGCGATCGGGCCTCTTGTAGCACCTGCTGCATCATAACCAAGGGAGCCAGTTTCTACAAATGAACGCATAGCAATAGCTGTTTATAAAGTGGCTAGCTGTGCAGGGTACAGGGTAGTGGCTGAGACATTTGGGGTTAGCAAAACAACTGTCCACAGCTGGTTCTCACCTGGTTCTCTAAGCGATGTCGGGTGACGTCACTTCTTGTTGACGTTTAAAGTATTGTCAAACAAAACGGAGGCTAGCTAGACCCTCACTCCTCCTCATCCGCGCACTAATGCCGTGTTCCAGGCAACCCGTAACCCGTGTTTTTCCAACTCGTAACTGGGAGTACATCGATCTAGAACGAGTTCACGGATGGGAAGTCACGGGTTTGACTGCCGTTCCAGCGCACTTTCACGGGTATACGGTTGGAAAAACACGGGTTACAGGTTGCCTGGAACGATGTACTCCCAGTTACGAGTTGGAAAAACACAGGTTACAGGTTGCCTGGAACGCGGCATAACCCCCCAAACCCCGCCCCCAAGTCCTTCTTGTCGGTGATTGGCTGGAACTGTT